GTTAACTTTACAATCTTTCATCTCATGCAATTTGTCTTTGTCTCACAATTTTAGCTTCAGTAATTTTCTTTGCTATATAATTTGAATTGAACGTAAATTTCCATGCTCTACAGTTTTGACCTAACATGATATTTTATTTGCGTGTGTGGCGAATTTAAATGTTGTTTATTGCTCTTTGTTGAAACTTTGACACTTGTTCGGTTGTCATTTAATATTAGAGTCATAGAGTTTGAACATTTAAATAGAATTGGAGGTAAATAACACAACAACACGTAGTGTCGGCGATGGGCGCAGTTCCTAGTTGCGGTAGCGGAATGTATCGCGCTGTCTGCACAAGACGTGCAGGCTTTGAATCAGATTTCAGTGGGAACGGTCTTGACGACGAGGTAGTAGTTGACCAGACTTCACCGCTAGTTTTAGGCCGAAACGGCCTGCTTGGACGGCATGTTCATCATGGAGGGGTGCTGTCTGGCAGGCTTGGTGTAGATAGAATCACCGTCGCGGGGGAAACCAGCCCAGACCGGGAGCTCCAAACTTCGCTCACGCTACGACACCCCCTCTGGGTATTTTCTGTGCTCGTAAATGAAATTGATATATTTTGTTCTATATTTTGTTCGATCGCCACACTCTCATAATGATTCGAGTTCTGCCATCTAATTTACATATGTGTAGGGTTTTGTGTTTGTTCGGTTTTCATATGTGTATGCCTGTCAATTCGCGAGTGTTTTCTTTTCAAATATCTTAGGGTGTTTGACATGTAATATGTCGGTGAATAAAACCCCAGGGGGTTTTGGGGAATGAAGACCGATGACACTTTGGCCCTGCGGACTCGCCAGAAGGGCAAATTGAGCCGTTGCCGTTCTTCGTTTCTTTTTCCCCCTTAGGAAGGCTTTTGACCAACCTAATTTTGTCTATTATTTCTGGCGCTCTCGACCGTGTATGCACTTGTATGAAAGAACTTCTTCCCGCCATTTTTCAAAAACAAAAAAAAAAAACACACAACGTAGGTTCTCATTTGTTAGACGATCACAGCCAAGGCCAAACTTTGAATTTTTGAATTTTTCGCGGGCCTTTCAAACTGTTTCAAGGTCAAAATTTTAAGGCGGGAAGTTCGGGTTATCACAATATAGAAAGTATTTTTTATATATTTACATATATATATATTTCTCACCACTTGGTAAACAAAATAATCTTATACCCGTTGCACTATTGCTTTTATATCCCAATATATAACAACCAGACATTTTTATAAAGTAGATAACCAATTTTTTAATGAGATTTATTCATCAAACCACCTAACAACTGCCTAACTACGTCAAATTCGTCGACGATACCTGACATTTTACAAATCAGCTGACATATCGCCGCCATTTTTGGGCAAAAATCGTACCATCTCTTTTCAACACATTGGTACAATGGATTGCGGTACTTTATATATCTAGTGACTTTAGTGAATACCGCTTGAAATCTCGGGACACCGACTTCAAAGTGCCGACAGCTGAGTGAACTATCTGGTATCCGTAATCTGTGCTTGGTGCCTGGGGCACTACATGCATTAAAGCCGACGTGCATATTTGGTTGCCTATGTTTAACGATTTCCTTTTTGTGATTGATTTTTTTTTTAATTCAAATTATTCAAATGTGATTTCGCGTCGCTGTTAATTAATTTCAGCGCGAAAATTTTGATTTAAATTCGGTCACCACCATATATCTAATAGTACTATATTGCTAACTGGCCTCAAAAGAGTCCGAAAACATAACGGCAGAGCAATATATCGGACCTCTCTGTCTCTCTGTGGGACTAAACAGTACTGCGCATACACTTGTACTTGGTTGATTTGTAGTCAATAGCGTGACTGGATGCGTTTTGACATTTCGTACTTTCGCTTCTATTTTGTGTACATGCGCACAGACCATCGGTACTCTTATAGACAGAAAACAACATCTTCTGTCTCTCTCTGTCCGTGAACACCAACGTTTCTATGTTACTTCTGAAGAGTTAGCAATATAGTAGTATTAGATATATGGTCGCCACAATGGATTCAGGGATTTTTAAAACGAAATCGACAGATATCTCTCAGAATGCCTGAAAACACCTCAGCTGCTCCGGCACAAGCCTTCAATAAAAATAATATCGCTTTATATTTTAAATCTCTGAACGAGGTTATGGAAAAATATAACTTTCCACCAGAAAATATTTGCAAGATTTACGAATCTGGTTTCAGTGTAGTACAAAAACGACCACACAAAATTCTAGCTACTAAAGGACGAAAGCAAGTTGGAGCGCTGTCTAGTGCTGAACGAGGACAGCATTTAACTGTGGTATGCTGTATGAATGCCATGGGCACGTTTGTGCCACCAGCCTTTATATTTCCAAGAAAAAGAATGAAAAATGAGCTGACGGACAACGCTCCAATTGGCAGCAAAGCCTATTGTCTACTAAACGGTTGGATGTGTTCAGAGATTTTTGTACAATGGTTGGAACATTTTGTACATTACACTAAAGCTTCGAATGAAAACAAGGTTTTACTCTTATTGGACGGCCACAGCAGCCACAAAAGTCTAGAAGTGTTACAATACGCGAAAGATAATGGTGTGATACTATTCTGTTTTCCCGCACATTGTACCCACCGGCTACAACCCCTGGATCTAGGTGTTTTCACCTCTCCAAACTTATTACGGCCAAGAAATTCAGACTTGTCTTAAACAACATCCTGGTAGAATCGTCACACATTTCCAAGTAGTTGGTCTTTTCAATAAAGCGTATTTGAAGGCTGCTACACCCGCAAATGCAGTACACGCGTTTGCCAAAATAGGAATATATCCCTTCGATGACAACATCTTTCCTGACTGGATGTTCCAACCCTCTTCCACAACCGATAGACCGTTAACCGAACATGACCAATGCCAAAATGGTCAAAAACAACCACAACAAGGAGGCGCAGACGTTAAACTGCCTAAATTAGGCTCTGGAACACCAGAAGCTACTGAAGTTGAACCTTCAACATCAGGATTTGCCAAAGCTAAATCCATGACAGAAAGATTTTCGTCAACGAGGAAACGAAGATATTATAGTATTCAGGACCTATCTCCATTGCCGCAAGCTTCACTTGGAGCTTCAAAGAAAAGATTAAGAAAACCTAGTAAAAAAGGACATATAAATTCTACGCCAGACATTGATGAATTAAAAAAGGAAGTAGAAGAAAAAACAACAAAGGAGAGGGAAAAGTTATCAAGAAAAGCAAAAAGGAGAATTTTGGTTGAAGAAGAAACGGATTTTGTCAGTGATAATGAAAAGGTTGAAAACATTGATGACGATGAAGCCGATGTTGCATGTTTATATTGCAATGATATATTCTCTAGGTCAAAAACAAGAGAAATGTGGATTTCATGTCAGAGTTATGGTTCCTGGTGCCACAGTAAGTGCGCGGGTGTTGAGAAAAGAATCAAGCAATTCATCTGCGAACTTTGTGAATAACTTTTTTAAGTTTTGCCTTAATGCTTCGTTATTTGATAATTTCTATTTAGTTTATTCGTTTGTTGATTCGTTTTGCTACAGATTGTAGTCCTTTATTTTAACTCTATTTTATTACTTTTATAATAACCCGTCAATTCTTAATAAAAATTAACATTACTTAAAAAAAAAACTCTAAAAATTCGGGTGTGCCATCATAAGAAGAGTACTGCCTATCATGGCACACTTCATGGTTTTTGGTTCTAATTTTTTTTCAAAATAAATATTGAATATATTGAAAATTTGATGAATTAATATCAATTTCAATATAATTGCTCGTTTAGATCACCCACAAAAAAAATATCCCTAATACCATAGATGAGGTTATACAAAGGTGTCAAAGTTAAGTATCCCATCATAGGTAGGTTTCCCCTACATTTTCTAAGCCAAGGTTGAATACAATTTTTATTGTATATATGAATATTTACAGACGAAAAGGTTTGAAAAGGGGATGACCAAACAAGTTTTGTCCGCAACTCTTTTTAAATCAATACTTTCATAAATTTTTTTAGTTAATAAATTTGTAGTTCAATATGCACGTAATCGCTGTAATAGTTAGTCGTGTAAATTCGAGTTATTAAGAAATAGATTGTTGAGTTTTACCCACGCCGATTTCAATTCACCGATCAACGTAACGGTGTTTATTATATTCACAGACGAAAAGCTTTAAAAAGGGATGACCAAAAACGTTTTGTCCGCAATTTCAGTTAGATTTTTCATTTTTCAGTGGACCCTGTTTTATATTATGTTGGAGTTGCTTTTTAGGGTCACCAATATGGAAAAATATCACGACCGGAGTGGGACTCGAACCCACATCTCCCCATTTGCTAAGAGGGAGTTTTACCGGTAAACTATCCGACGTGACGGAGGGTTGTCCGCAGGTTTATCCCCACTATAATGATAACTTTTGGGTACTAATACTTTTTTGAAAATAACAGTAAGTATTGTTAAAATATTGCGCATTTACTATGTAGGTATGGTATTATTTTTATAGATAAAGTTTTATCAAAATATACATTCCACAACTGTAATGACGGTTCGATAATGGAACCATAATGATACTTCGTAATAATATTTTATTCATTTGTCCTTTGACATGCGATCCACTGCTGGTGATGATCAGTTGTTGGACTGTACAAATATAAACCTGTTACATATACTCGCGACACCGAAAAAACTGTCTAAAATTAACAAGTTAAAATTTCCCTTGTCCCTGAAACAGTCAAAACATATTCAGTTTCTTGTAAATTATAAAAATCCTTTTTGAAATACCTAATAATTTATACTTACATTTTATAACTTTGTTGGATTTTTGTTTTATCCTATTTATGCTTGTTTTCTGATAAACTTCAGCTTTGTAATGGGTAAAAAAAAGGGCTACATTTAAGTTAGTCACTCTGTATTGCCAATGACAGGTCACTTTTTTTTTTGTGTATACTGCGTATTTTATTTTCTAGCATTGTAATTATAAAAAAAAACACATTAATTAAAATAATGACGTTTTTATTTCAAACTAGGTACACTCTCTACCCAATTTATGATGACATGCCATGTGTATTTCCAACTGAAAATCATTTTTGAACACTCTGCTGCACTTCTTGCACTTCGCCCCCTCCTTCCGATTGCCATGCTGAAGCTTCACGTGCCTTTTCAAATACTTCTTCCGCCGAAACTTCGACGGACACTGCTCACACTCAAACCACTCATTCTGATCCTCCAATTTGTGTTTCCTCAGTACGTGCTGCTGCAATTTTTTGTTACAAGTCGACTTAAACGTGCAAACTCCGCACATGAAAAACACAAACTCGTCTTTCACGTGCTGAACATTGATGTGTCTTTCGAGGTTGTCTTGATCCACGAATCTCGCCGAGCACTGTTCACACTGGAAATATTTTTTTATGCATTTGATGTGTGCGTTGAACGCGTGCTTGGCTAGTTCGTTCTGGTTTCGCGTCTTGAAGGGGCAACGGATGCATTTGAGCCACTGTTTTTGACATTGTAGGGAAATGTGTCGTAACAACAAATATTTGGAGAAGGTTTCGAAGTTACAGTGAGAGCATTTGTGGAGTGTCACTAGTTCGGGCGACGGGTGATGTGGGTGGCCTCGGAGGATATGGTCCTGTAACTGTGCTAGAAAGTCGGTTCGAAAACTGCTACACTTTTTGCATTTATACGGAGTGACTTTATCAGTACAATTAAATAAGGTTGGAGTGTTGGAATCCTGAATTGGGGTCTCTGGAATGCATGGGATGAGCCAGACGACAGTTGGGGCGACCACTGTGTTTTGGTTTATTGTTATGTTGTCCATTGATGATCTGCAAAAAGTGAGGTTAGAATGGAAAGACTACATTAAAAATATTAGTTAACCTTAAAAAGAATTTACAGGCATGTCGAAGGGGATTAAGCAAGTCGACATGTGTCTTAAATTTGCCTGCAACTATGTTTGTTGCCTTGTCTATTGTCAAGGTTGTTGACCGTTACTTGGGTTTAGATTTGGGTTCAGGCTGCCGCATAGCGGCTTAAGGTTAGGGGAGGTATGACATGTTGCCAAGTTGCCATCAAAACCCACGAAATTTAAATTGTTTTTATTTTTCTAGTGTGAACGAGACCGTCCGTCCGTCCGTCTGTCTGTTTTTCGTCGTCTGTTTGTCTATTGGCGGTTTGATTAGATAGATAATCGTTCCAGCGTTGAACTGAAGTTCTAGACTGTCGTCTCGTGTCTTGTTGATGAATTTGATAGATTTCCTAGGTTTGTTCCTCTCCTGAAATTCGACGACGTCATCGCAAAATTTTGCTACGTAAATTCCGTTTGAGTAATTTATCCGTATTTTTAATTTTATGCAGATTATTATTGCAAAAAATACTATTTGTAAAATGACTAACACTAACATTTCTAGTAGTAAAATAGGGATTTGACAATTAAGTTCCTCCCATCGACTTACCACGAATTAAAAAAATCCATCTTTTCACAACAAGAAATTTAGAACATGGTTAAAATGGTACATTTTTGTAAGGAATTGTGGGTCGGAGCCTAATTGCAAAATCGATATTTCCTTATGCCAATTTTTCATTTTTAACATGTTTTAAGTTTCATGTGGTGAAAAAAAGTCTACACATATTAAAACAAAAAGGCACAATGTACCCGCCTACCCACCCTATCTCAATTGTGATGATTTTTTATTCGCCGTGAACCAAGAGGGCGGAACTCAACTACAAAATACTCACTGCTTTACAAGAAATTAAAAACATGTTTTGAGTGTTGTGTGGTTAAAAGAATACTATGTATATTAAGATAAAAAGCCAAAAGATAAACCCCGCCCACCCACCCCATCTCAATTGTGATGATTTTTTTAAATATGGATTTTGCAATTAGGCTCCACCCCTAGATCTGCCAACGAATGAAAACTTCATTACCACTTAGATCAGGTATGGGTGGGGTTCTTTGGCTTTCATTTTTTCTTAGTATACGTAGTATTCTTTGAATAATGCGATAGTCAAAAACATGTCTTACATGGTAATTTCTTGTAGAAAAATGATAAGGATTTTGCAATTAAATTCTGCTTCTTTGGCTTTCGACGATTGGAAAAAAATCACAATTGAAACAGAGTGGGTGGGCGGGGTTTGTATTTTGTTTTTTTTTCTTTTCTTAATGTTGTACTGTTGCGCCCCCCCCCCCCCCCCCAAACCGCACGATTTTTCGTTGTCATAGAATTTTTTGAATTTGTAAGTTAATGTAAGTCTGGCTATTACCAGTGGCGTAGTGTTTTTGAATACACAAAATGTCAAATTTGACAAACTTTGTTATTCGGACCCCCATGATTTCAACACACATTTACAATGGAAAAACTTATCGTGTACTTTTAGAAAGCCGCAACTGTACATAGTATTCTTTGAACAACACGACACTCAAAAACATGTTTTTAATTTCTTGTAAAGAATTAAATATTTTGCAGTTAAGCTCCGCCCCTTGGTTCACGGCGAATAAAAAAAATCATCACAACTGAGACAGGGCGGGTGCGCGGGTCTCCATTTTGCCTTTTTGTTTGAATGTGTGTAGACTTCTTTTCATGAAACATAAAACGTGTTTAAATTGGAAAATGAATGTAAGGAAATATCGATTTTGCAATTAGGCTCCGCCCCAGAATTGCAAACTTCGTTGCAAAAATGTACATTTTTAACTACCTTTTAAGCTTCTTGTTGTGAAAAGATGGCTATGTATATAAAGAAAAAAAAAGGCAACATATGAGCGCCGCCCACCCGCCCTATCTCAATTCTGATGATTTTTTTTATTCGTTGTAAGCCGAGGGGCGTAGCTTAATAATTGTAAAATCCTTATTTTTGTACGAGAAAATAACCATATGTTCTTAAGTAATCGTGTTGTACAAAGAAAACTTAAATGTATTAATTAAAAGAGAAAGCCAAAAGAGAAGCGCCACCCATCCTTCTCGATCTCAATCGTGATGAATTTTTCATTCGTCGTCAGACCGAGAGGCGGAGCGTAATTTCAAAATCAATATTTTCCTATATACCATTTTAAGTGTTTTAAGTTTCTTTTTGTGAAAAAGTGACTGCACATATATCGAAAAAAAAAAGGCAAAATGTAAGCCCCGCCCACCCGCCCTATCTCAATTGTGATGATTTTTTTATTCGTAGTGAACCAAGAGGGAGGAGCTTAACTACAAAATCTTTATTACTCCCCAAGAAATAAAAAACATATTTTTGAGTGTCGTGTTGTTCACAGAATACCATGTATATTAAGAAAAAAACAAGCCAAACATTAAGCCCCACCCATATCCATCCCAAGCTCAATTGTTTTTCATTCGTTGTCAGAGCGAGGGGCGGACCCTTATTGCAAAATCGATACTTTCCTACAAAAATTTACACAATTGTTAAATAGTTATTTATGCAAATAGTTGGATAATGACAGCGATTAACGATCGAGCAATAGGCGAGATCGTTAATCGCCATTACCCCACGTGTTGATTACAATATTTTTTCGACGATCGTAATTTTCGAAAACAGCAATTTGAATACTATTTTTAACATTTGTTATGCAACCAACAATACTTTGACATTTCTGTAGAGTTGATTTTATTTTAATTTGTTTCGCAATACATTTTTGATTAAAAAAACACCCTGTTGATTCAACAATATCGCGTTAATTTTAAAAAACTTTGAAATTGAAATAACAAACTTTATTAGATTGGTATGCAACCAACAATACATTGACATTTCAGTCGACTAGTTTAATCGTTGAATAATGAGTCTCGTTATTGATCAATTTTGAACACCAAATTTATTCGTAATTTTCACATTAATAAACGATCGTCGGAAAAATATGTTTTCGGTTTTCTCAGAAATATTCCAATACAAGTTTTTCGTGTATCAAAAACGACCCTTTATACAAAGTAGTAAAACTAATTTATTTGTATATTTAGATAGCGTGACGAAAACGAAACTAACACAATAACTTCAAATTACAGTAGAATTCTTTTAATTTTGGTTTCTATCTTCGTCCGACACACTGTATTTACACGTACCTATACTGCGTAAACGCAGTGTGTCGGACGAAAACAGAAACAAAAACATTACGTTTTACAACATCTTGCCAAAATTTAAAGAATTCTGCTATATATTGACATAAATAGATAAACCACAACTTTGGATAGAATTTTTGAAATTTTAGAAGAACTTAAACTGGGTGTTTTAGTTTTTTTTTTTTTGGTAAAATTAAAACAAATTTTCAGACAAAATACGATTTATTTATATGAGATAGTTTTTTTTTTTTAAACTAGGAGTATTCTGCATCACATTTTCAAGAACAACGAGCATTTCGTTGAAGTATGAACAGCAAAATGTTAATAACCCTGAGTTTGCTGGTAAGATTTAAAATCGACATTTTTAGTTCACTGGATAGGTTGAAGATCACGTTTAAAAATAATTTCTACATGGATAAAAAAATTCAGTAAAACGGTAAAACTAATTTGATACAATAACAAACACCTACTGCTTAAAATAGGTAATTTCGTAAGTTACTCATATCAAAGCGTCTTATGACTTCGTCTTTATTATATAATTTCGCTTCAAAACTTATAATTTTCTTACAAATCTTAGTAGTCGGAAGCGCGTCAACAAGAAAATAAAACTGTTTCGTAGTTTTCACGTTAAACCTTTTAACTATATGTGGCCTTACGGCGTCTCTGGCTAGTTCTTGCAGTAACGGCACCCTTGGAAGAAGTAATATTGTTTGTAAAACATTCTCCGGCAAAGATTCCGTACTTAAGAAGAAGCTGACCAAGGAAGGGTGAGCAAAAAACTGTAGGAGTTCTAGTGCTTCCCTGTCCAGTAAGTCACCGAAAGGAGTTTGCAAATGATTGAAGTACCGGTACCTCGTTTCAAGCAGAGTCCACTGTCTTTCAGCGGTCGAATCGACGAAAGTTTGAACATTGAAGTTAAGGTCAGTGATGAAGGTCGCCATTACACATTTTCGTTTTTTAAGAATACATTCGTCCGGGTCTAAATACAGTAAAGTTCGAAAAAGAGCACAGTCACCGTATTTTTTATAGATGAAGTGGTACATGGCAGTGTTACATCTACCGCCGTACTGTAGCAGGAACAAGATCAACCCGGTCATATCAAAGTCGTATAGACCTATACGCTTTGTTACAGCTGCCGTCAGTTTAAAAACGTCTACATTTTCAAGAAAATCCATGACACATTTATGGTAAAACTCGTTTTTCGCCATTACGTGTTGTATTCTGTCCATGAAAACCTCACCAAAGTCTTTGGTGCACTCATAAGGAAACTGCGATGCTTCCAAAACCTCCTGCACCGCCTTCGGACACCTATTTAGCACATCATCTAAATAGTCCAAACGCATATTGACAAAGTTATACAAGATACAAATCCTATTTTCGTGCCGACCTATTACAAGTTCGAACTTACAATCCAGCAGTTCTGAAACCAAACTAATCCTATTTTGATCACGAAACCTCATTAAACGTCGTCTGGATCTAACAACATCCACGAACGTGCCTACATCCAGCGCCCTGCAAAACTGCCCATCGTAACAAAACAGCACCAACTGCTCGAAAAGCAAGTCCGAAATTTGTGTCCGACAAGCAAGTTCGAACGCGCTGTACCCGCAGTAACCGCACCGTCTGCACTCGCTAAGAGGGTCAGCGCCGTAGCACAGCAACATGAGGACCACTTCTTCCACTAATTCGTACTTCCCCTTAGGAAGGACGATGTGCAGGACGTAATGTAGCACAGATAGTCCGGTTTTGTTGCGGGAATTCGGGTCCAGGCCTCGGTCGAGAGCGAACTTCAGCATGTCGACGTTGGTGGCGTGATCTCCGGGAAAGTTCGTGCAGCGGAGGGCTCCGAAGGGGGCTTTATTCTCGATTAGGGTGTAGAAGAACTGCAGGTCGAAAGTGGAGGAGAAATCGAGGGAACGCATGATGGCGTGAAGCTGCTTCGGTGTTTGTAGGGGGACCAAGAAGTTGAAGACTTTGTGGCTGAAACAATGAAAAAATAAGTGTTGAATGATCTCACATTTTACATACCACCCTTTGCTTTATTCTAATCTATTGCTAACGTAATTGTGGTGTACCGATTTGAAAAATTAAATTTCAAAATTCTCTTGTTTGATTTTCTTTTTATTGGTTGTTTTGTTGCTGATGATTCTGGTATTTACCCAGTTACCGTTCTAAGTTCAGTTAATTTAGTGACGAAATGTTGCTTGAAGGTATTAATATCGAGTTATAGATTTAACAAAAATAAATAAAAAAGAAATTTCGAATGTATAATATTAATAAACACCACTTTGTACTACATATTCGTAAACGTTAAATGTGCATTCATTGTATTGGCTTTTCTGTTTTATGGTATTAAGGGGACTCGCTAGACGAGGTATAACATTTTTTTGGTTTTTTGTATGAAAAAATTAAATTAATATAGATGTATCTACATCAAACTGCAGCTTTTTTCATATTCTAGAGCACAGAGACCAGTTCAATCAACTAAAAAAATATGGCTGAGAAATATCGTAAAAAAAGCACCATTGTATGTTTTCTTTTCAAGTTTTTTGAGTCATAACCATCATAGAATCGCTTGAAAATTCGCACATGGATAAAACATCACTTTTTACAGGCCGCAGAGTCATGTTTGTTAGTGGTACAATTTGTTTAAATAATAATGTGTTTATTAAAATCAAAATATACCACAATTTAATGCAAAATACGTAGAATAATTTTAACAGGAATATCAGAGGAAAACTAATGATCTATTGGTTAGCAGCGTTTTTAACCAAAAACTAACAATAATTATTGAAAAAAATGGGTATCAATTCGACAGATTTTGAGCCGTTAGTTCAGTACTTTGCCGATAGGAGCGCCACTAAAATTTACGGAAGCGACTTTCCAGGTAAAACCCTTTTAAATTTAAAACCTTTTTAAATTTTAGATTTTTTGTTTTCTTTGATGTTTTGAGTTCTCGATCATTCGATTTTCTGAGTTTTCAGGCTTAGATTTTTTTTTGTTGTTCAATTCTTGGATTTTTAAAATTTTTGTTTTTTAAATTTTCCTATTTATCAACTTACTGGGATTTCAATGTTTTGATTTTTTGATTGTTCAATTTCTCGATTTTTTGAATTTTTAGTTTTTGATGATTTTTTTTTCAAAAATTTTCAGTTTTTCAATTTATTAACTTTACGATACTTCAGTTTTGCTCGATTTCGATTTCTCAATTTTTCGACATATTACTGTTGGGATTTTTCAATTTATCGATTCTTCGATTTCCCGATTCTTCATATTTTCGGTTTCTCGAATTTCTTCATTTTTCGATTTCTCAATTTTCCGATGTTTCAGTTTTACGATTTTAAAATTTTTTTATTTTTCAGTTTTCAATTTTTGACGTTTCTAAATTTTTCGATTTCTCAATTTTTCGATTAACTGAATTTTTGATTTTCCCATTTCTCTATTTCTCGATTTTTCAATTCTTTCTTCAATTGTGATTTTTCAACTTTTCGATTTCTGAATTTTTCAATGTTTCAGTTTTGGATTTTTTCACTTTTCCGATTCTTCAATTTTCTTTCCATTTTTCAGTTTTTCAAGATCTCAGTTTTGAATTTTTTCACTTTTTCGATTTTTCAATTTTCCTTCCATTTTTCAGTTTTTCAGTATTTCAGTTCTGGGATTATGCAATATTTCGGTTCTTCAATTTTTACATTTTTTGATGTTTCGATTTCTCGGTTTTTCAATTTTTCGATAGGTCGTATTTTAATTTTTCAATTTTTAAATTCTAGATTTTCCGTTAATTTTTTTGTTTTCCTTGATGATTTCCTTGATTTTTCGATTATTCGATTTTTCAAGTTCTCGGTTTAGATTTTTTGGTTTTCCAATTCTTCGATTTTTAAATTGTTTAATTTTTAGATTGTTCAATTTCTCGATTTTTAGATTTTTCAATTTTTCGGTTTACCGATTTTTTTTCATTTAAAATATTTCAATTTTTCCATTATTAACTTTTCGATTTTTCAATTTTGGTCTAATTTGATTTCTTAATTTTTTGATTTTTTGACTCCTCTACTACTGATGTTTTGATTTCTCGATGTTTCAGTTTTTGAACATTCCAATGTTTTGATTTTTCGACTTTTTGGCTTTTCGAGTGTTCAATTTTTTGATTTTTGAATTTTAGATTTCTGTTTTTTTGATTTTTTTGGTGATTCGATTTCCCAATTCTTCAATTTTTCGATATTTTAATTTTTCAATTTTTCGAAAATTTTTGATTTTTCTTTTCTTTTATTTCTCAATTTTTTGATTTTTTAAATTTTACATTTTTCGATTTTACTATTTTTTGATGCTTGGATTTCTCAATTTTTCAAGTTTTCAATATTCATTTTTTCAGGATTTGAATATTGAGAACTTTTCAATTTCTGGATTTTCAATTTTCAGATATTTTAATTTTTTTATTTTTTAATGTTTCGATTTTTCGATTTTTAAAGTTTTTGATTTTTCCTATTTGTTGTCTGTTTTAAGTATATTTCTTTTTTCAATTTGCGCCTTCTACGGGAGTATTATTTGTTGTGCTGCACTTGACGGGCGAGGGAAGTTCTGTGGAAATAACCTTCGACTAATTTTTATACTTAGTACGTAGGGTTCTTACTAAGCATTCCTTATTTAACCGAACATTTATTAATTTAACTAAGCAGCTATTATTTCACCAAGCATATACATATTATTTTTACTGAGAATTTATTTTTTAACTGAGCATTTATTATATAACTTAGCATTTAATTTGTTCCCTTATCTAAATAACAAGAAAACGGTATTAATAATACATTTAGGCGAATAAACTAATAGACGGGCTTGATAAGCCTTGTTTGCTCTACAGTGTCTAAATTGTGTTTGAATAATATAATAATTATCTCGAATATTAAAATTAATGTCAAAAGGATACGAGAAATTATTATTCTGTGCTGAAGGTATGTTGTGGGCCGCCTGTCATAAATTATCATTATTCTTCATTATCGGCTTACGATGTTTTTATGAATTGTCTCTCGTCTAGCATTCCCCCTTAAGTATGCAAAATGTTTATGCCAATGTTTCGCACATAAATTCGTCACGTGTTTGTTGCATATTCTGGCTAGTGCGCACTGTAAACACGCAGATTATATACACTTCCACTGCATATTGTCTAAACGTCATTAATAACTCTGTTATCAATATTTTCTCGATTCTTTCGTTTCGTTAATTAAAATTATAATTAATGTAACACTAAATTAATTACAAAATTCTCCCTTGTCCCCTTGTCACTATTATTTTTTACCTATTATGTTTGACGGCGTTCAAAACCAACAAATCCCCGCACTCGACTACAAATCCATCGAAAATTTCATTGTTCTCTTCGGCAATTCTCGAGAATTCCTCGTAATCATTGTCTCTGATTGCGTCCTGTAGGCTGGTCTGGAACTAAAAATACTACAAGTGCTTGATTGTTAAAGAAACACAAAAATGTACCTCTTTTGGGCCACTCATTTTGGTCAAAGTTTGATATTTAGGGTAGGAGAAACGCAGGTAACGCACTATTCACAATGTATCAATAACTAAAGGAATGTCTTTGGACAGTACACTGAGGGATTGATGGAACATGGCGGAAACCACGAGGGGACTGTGGGTAAACCATCCCCACTACTAACTCTAATCAAACGCTGTAGGACCTCCCTGGTAGGACTAGAACCGAGCCATCGACAGAGTTATTAGTGGAAAACTGTGCGTAGAGGTCTTTTCATATGACAAACGTCGTTCATTATTTGTGTGTGCGGTTAGAGGCAGACTTGCTGTTGACGTTGAAGTTCCCGCTGACGTTGCTTTTAGAGCTGAAAATTGTCATTTATAAATTCCGTTGCCAAGTTGCCGTTGATAGTAACATTTACCATTTTAGACATGTTTTAAGTTTCTTGTTGTCGAAATAAGTCTACCAATATTAAGAAAAAGAGGCAAAATACATATACCCCCGCCCACCCACCCTGTCTCAATTGTGATGATTTTTTTTATTCGTCGTGAGCCGAAGGGACGAAGCTTAACTGGAAAATCCTTATTTCTCAACGAGGAATTAAAAACATGTTTTTGAGTATCGTGTTGTATATTAAGAAAAAAATAAAGCCAAAGATTAAGCCCCACCCATCTCCATTCCAAGCTCAATTGTGTGGAATTTCTCATTCGTTGTCAAAGCGAGGGGCGGGGCTTAATTGCAAGATCCATATTTGTATATAAGGGTTTACCATTTTAAACAATTTTTAAGTATCTTGTTCTGAAAAGATGACTACACATATTAAGAAAAAAAAGGCAAAACATAAGCCCCGCCCACCCGCCCTATCTCAATTGTGATGAGTTTTTTTAATCGTCGAGAGCCGAGGGAGCAAAATTTAACTGCAAAATCCTTATTATTTCTCTACAAGAAATTACCATGTAAGACATGTTTTTGAGTATCGTGTTAAAAAAATACTATGAACATATATTAAGAAAAAATTAAAGTCAAAGATTAAACCCCACCCATACCTGCCCTGATCTAAATAGTAATAAAATTTTCATTTATTGGAAAACCTAGGGGCGGAGCCTAGTTGCAAAATCCATATGTCCTTACAAAAATTTACCATTTTAAACGTGTTTTAAGTTTCTAAAATATAAGAATAAAAAAAATCACCACAATTTAGATGAAGTTGGTGAGCGGGGTTTATATTTTGCCTTTTTTTCTTAATATACATTGTACTCTTTGAACAACACGATACTCAAAAACATGTTTTTAATTTCTTGTAAAGCAATAAGTATTTTGCAGTTAAGCTCCGCCCCCTTGGTTCACGGCGAATAAAAAAATCATCACAATCGAGATAGGGCGGGTGGGTGGGTTTACATTTTGCCTTTTAGTTTGAATATTTATAGACTTGTTTTCACAACATAAAACTTAAAACATGTTTATTAAATTTCTATAAGGAACCATCGATTTTGCAATTGACCACTCAAATAAGGTTAGATTAGAATTTACATTGCGCGGCAGTTCATAATTCAAAAATTCTACTATGGGTTTCTTATGGGAGCTTGATTTTACAGACAAAATACATCGCACAGATAGAAATCTTAACTAGTTCATGCTACAAGCGATAAAGACTGTTCAATTATCTTCCTGTTACTGAAGGTTTAACTATATAAAAAGCTTTTGTTAAAGAAATATCGCAAATTAAAAACAAGGATGTTCATCAAAGTAACGTACACCGTTTCTAACGCCTTGCGCATGAGTGAAACGGAAAATCCAGAAACACCCCGGACAGAAAAAGAACGCGAATATTTTACGGGGCTAGTGACGTTTGGATCGTGAAAATCCCCAAAGTATGACAGTTGATTTCGTATTTTCATCACAACAAACAATCATAATCCCAATTTTTGGATGATATATTAGTTCTGTGGTGTGATATTGATTCACATTAGGTTGTATGTATCTGTGGACTGGTTTTTTTGTATTTGTTATTAATAATGACAGAAAGACAAATAATGTAGTGAAAGTCAATTGGTATACTGAATTAAATGTGCTTGATGAGTTTATTCGAGCTAGAATGCGAAATAGCCAGGTATAAGGTTATGGTAAGTTAATGTACATTGATAAATTCTGTATCAAGTACAATTATTACGTATTTTGTTTTATTATGCATAGATATTTCTCAAGAGAGGCAACATGTGAAACACCAAGAGGCCCATTTGTATGTCACCATATGGATACACTTGCCCTACACGGACGTTATAATGTATGTATTTTGGACCACTTATTTGCGTTCTTGGGACGTACATGAAAGCTTATGACAAACTGATGGGAGCGAGGCACTGCTTTGGCTATTGGGCCCTGAACCAGAAAGATCTGAAGAAAATCTACTTCACAGTGTCGAAGAACTATTAGTGTCCGAGGACTATTTAAATGACTTATCAAGAAAACAGTTTATGGGTCAGTTTTTCACCAAAAGTGAATCAGATTTTGCATTAAGAAGTGCAATTTGTTATTGTAGAATATATTTTTTTGTTTTGAAATAAATTGTTCTCTAAATTGTGATTTTTTTTAAATGGCTGTTTCAGACCCAATTCGTACTAAAATGAAAGTGATTTTTACTTGTATATGAAAGGTTTAATTAGGAATGCTAAGTTTTTCCTTTTCTAGCAAAAATGTGAAAAGAAAAAAGCTTGGGATTGATGATGATTCTTAAATCGAAATTTGACAATTGATTGAAAACATTTGCAAATATGAGATCTCCTTTATGTATTATTTTAAATTCACAGCCGTATCTGTAGCATCTGAAAATCAAAGCCATTTATATCGAGGGGGAAGTCAATGGCAGTATGAACCACTGTACGACATACGTTCGAGGCAAATGTAGTGGTAAAAGTTGAATTTAAATATTTATTAAATACCACCGGTTCGGTTCATGTTTGGTATCAAGATCAACAGTAAAAATATCAGTCTTAATGGTACAGGCAGTGGGATATATAAGAAAATTGCTTTAATGGTAGAATTTAAGCGTTAAAATGACGCCTCGATTTCACCCATAAGGATTACACGGGGAACTGAAATACGGGTCTCGTGTTATGAACTGGGTTCAAATTTCGCGCGTCGTTCACTTTACTTGTCAATTGGGCTCCACCCCATAATTGCAAAATCCATATTTCCTTGCAAAAATGTACCATTTTAACCATGTTCTCAGTTTATTGTTGTGAAAAGATGGCTATATATTCAGAACACAACGCCAGAATATAAGCCCCGCCCACCCGCCCTTTCTCAATTCTGATGATTTTTTGTATTCGTCGTAAACCGACAGGCGGAGCTTAATTGTAAAATCCTTATTTTTTTAGGAGAAATTACCATGTGAAATATGTTCTTAAGTTATACAAAGAAAACTAATTATATAATGTATTAATTACAAAAGAAAACCAAAAAGAGAAGCCCCACCCATCCGTCTCGATCTCAATCGTGATGAATTTTTCATTCGTTGTCAGACCGAGGGGCGGAGCCTAATTGCAAAATCGATAGTTTCGTACAAAAATTTACCATTTTCAACATGTTTTACCTTTCTTGTTGTGAACGGGTGATTAAATGGCTGAATATTAGTGCTGTTAACCAGAAAAATGTCCCCCCTACTTCAGGGGATTTTTCTTCAAGTTGGCAGCACTAAATAAAATCAATCATCAAAATACCAACGTTGGCTTAAATAGTGTAAAGAACATTTTAATCCTGAATGAGGGATACGAAGTGTGGATAACATTAATCAACAATATCGTAAAACATATAAAATTTATTAAATAGAATAATACACATATATACAAAATAATTTAAAAATTGCTTTTCAATATTAATACAGTTCGGCCTGGAATAAAATAATTCTTTTGTGAGTATTGCTCACCGGAAGGGAGTTAACAACCCACCCAAAATGTCCAGCGTTCCTAATTTTAAACCTTTCAATAATGTGCCCCCGTAACGCATTTCTGGCCAATTCGATTAAAGACGACAAACGTGGAAAACACTGGATTCTTTCCACAGTTGCATCAGTAACATTTCCCTTATTTTTTAACAAAAAATTCAACAACTGCGGATTTACCGAAAAGTGTAAAACTTCGAACAAACTACTTCGTGAATAATTTCGACCATTTTTAAAAATTGACCCTAACTCTAAGTGTACATCACAAATCATCGCTACAACTATATTTTTGCAATAAACTGCATCGGAATCTACGACGTCCAAGCACGAAAGAAACCGAAACAGTTCACAGTTGCCATATTTTTCAAAAACGATATCCAAAAGTCTCCGTTCACAATTTAAACCGTAGGAGAACATAAAGATGAGTATTTCCGTCAACGTGGATTTGGTGCTTCTACTAACAACGACTTTAAAAAGTTTGCAGCTCTTTAGAGTCAAAATTAAATTGATAACATGTCCCCTCATTTGTGGGCTACTTTCAATAAATATATTTAATTTGGTTAAAAGTTGCTCACAACTTAAAAAAGCGTTAACTTTTGTTGTCAGAATTTCGTCGCGGTACATCCACGAAACAACTTCACAGATAGCAGGGTTGCATTTTTTTAGAAGAATAGTTAACTCGTGTACATCCATACTCAGTAAATATTTGATGACGAACATGTAGTCCGCATCCGTGAAATTGTGGGTTACACAATCAACATCAAATTGTAGAATGTCATGAAATAAGGGCGAATTTTGCTCTAAGAGTTGCAATAATAAATTTAGGTGCATTTTACAGCCGCCACATTCGTCGAAGGTGTAAAAACATAGAATTTCCTGGACGGGGATTGGGTGGTTATTTTTAATTGCCAGTTCAAGGGAATTAAAACCTTTATATTCTATTAAAGGATCTGCTCCATAGTACAACAACATGGCTACAATTTCAGGAACGTCGCATGAGGAATATCCTTCTAAAACATAATTAAGTGCAGTTGAAAATGGCCAGTCAGACTCTACATTTGGATTAATCCCCTCATCCAGCAAGAGTTTTACAAGATGAACTGATTTACTAATACTCTGTTTTAAAATTCTTGTAGTTTCATATTCTTCTCGCGGAAGTGCACCTTTTCTGATAAGTTCAGTTGCATAATATTTATCATTGTTATCGATTGCGAGTGTCAGAGGTGTTGAACCGTAAATACCAACAGTCTCCAGGTTGATGACCTTATGAAAACTGAGAATGTATTTGAAAATAGCTTTCCTAAAACAACAAACTTGAGTCGTACGAATTTTAATTTAGTTCCACCTTCACCTTTTCCGGATTATAGCTTCTTGGATTAATGTACGTCCGCTGTGAATTCGCATTTCACTCCATTTTTTCGGAGATTTTGAAAAAATTGCTTCAAAAGTAGACACGTCGTAGTTCCTGACGGCGGCCGCCAGTTGTTCTAGAAGCTAAAAACGCGATTAGGTACTTTTATTAGTAAAAATGTATTACATACCATTCGATCATCCATGGCTAGTTGAAGAAATATCTTAGATTAAACAAAAACGGTCTGTACATGATGGTTGAATTTTGGAAACTGTGATGTGAAAGTATGCAACCCATTATATCCTACACTATATTGCACCATATTTCACATGTTGCGTTGTATATTATGTTGCAAACTGGTTGTTCTTCATCGATTTTACAAATTTACGTATTACTCATGCTTCATTCCCCACCGACTCCACTTTTTTTCTTTTCGAAGAACTGATTAAATTCACATTAACATAACAGAATTGACTCAAGAACATAGACCGTACTTTGAAAAACCACCGCAGAGAGAATACAAGTGAGAAAATAATTCTGATGTAAAAAGTGGCACAACAGTTCGCTTAGTTTCCAAGATTTTCTATTTAATAAAATCACCAACAGACTCCGGTGAAATCAAATCGGTAGACCTACTTTTTGAGGTGATTATCATAAATTAGATCACCGTATTGCCAGAGAACATAGAGAAGCGACATAGAGGCTGATTTTGCAAAACCACCCTTATTTGACACTGGAGTCCTCAACTGCCAAAGGCAAGCGCCAAATTTAAATAGTCGACGCCCATAAAAACCTTGTTTCACTATAATTGTAATTCGTGTGACCTGAATGAAAGTCAAGGAAACACTAAGCAGCTTGTAATATTCTGGTAAATTTAGTGTCAATTTGTCGGAAATAAAACGCGTCATTAAAAATATTATGACATTTCTTCTAGTTACTTTTATCCCTAGTTAGAAACAAACACTGCTACCAACATAAATTGAGGAGTCCGCAACCGTCATTTAATTTAAACTATGGCGCTTCTCTATGTTCTCTGGTATTGCAGTGACTGGAAATTCAAATTTCCCGCTAAGAAAACAAAAATTGGTTGAGAGTTATTTCGACAGAACTTTAACTTTTTTTTTTTTGATAAGGTCATTAGCATTTTAGCAAGGGCACTTATATCAATTTAGTTTTAGAACGCTTGGAATGCTCGAAATTTTTGAAATTTAGAGAAGACTGAACTTTCACAGTATTTGGAATATTTTCACAAATTCAATAAAAAAATTACAATCTCTAGAATTGAGTAAATTTTTGAAATTTCCAGAAGTTCCAGATTTTCTAAAGATAAAAATATCAGTCTTCGGATATGCCAGAATTTACCATTTTCCTCAGTTTTCAAGATTTCTAGGTCTTCCAAATTGTTCACACTTTCTAGATATTTCCAGATGTTCTAAAATTTCTAGACCCTAATAATAAGAGTCTTTATATCTTTGAAATTTTTGGAATCTCTGGAATCTTTAGAATCTCTGAGATGTATAAGATAATAGACAATTAGCGAAACCACGTTCCGTAGAACGTACAGCACGCAAAACGTAGAAAAAATTGTTATATCTATGGAAAAATAGAAAATGCACTGTCCCTATTGGTGATTGTGTACGTTAACGGATAATACGTTGTACGGAACGTAATTTCGCTAATTATTGAATAATTAGGGTATACAATTAATACTTGTATGATTTATAAAAATTAAAGAAAGCATTCCTCAGATTTTTAGGATTTTTATTTTGTTTAGGAGTCTTTCGAATTTTTAAAATTTTTGTCATGCGTTTCTTACAAATTATAGAATATTTGAAATATTTGGAACATAATTTTAAAAACCTTTTCAACCTTTGAGTCCTTAGAGTATTTAGAATCTTTAGAGTTTTCAGAGTCCTTAGAGTCTTTGGAAATTTGGATATCTCAGAATTACTAGAAATTTTAGTAAAGTTTGGAATTTTTATGATTTCTAGGAACATTAATACTTCCAAGAACTTTACAATTTTGTTGGATGTTTCTTCTATTTAGAACCTAAAACTTTAGTTTATTTAGCATCTTTGATTTGTGAATTCTATTGTATGAAAACTTTAAGATTCTTAGAATGTGTCGAGTCTATAGAATTTTTGAAAGGTTTGAAACCTTTTAAATATTTCAAACATTTGGAATTTTTGTAATTTTTAGAATATCTTAAGATTTTGTAAATTTTCGAAATTTTGAGATTTAATATTTTTTTTTATTTTATTACAATTTCTGGGAATTTTCGTAACTTGCAAAATTTTCAGAATGAACCCAGTTTTTCAGATTTTCTGAAGTAAACAAAATTTCTAAAATTATCAGGCTTGAGTTCTACCAGAATTTTGAAATTCAACCTTTTCCAATATTTTCAAGATTTCTGCGTCTACCACATTTTTCCTACACTTTCTAAATTTTTTCAGATTTTCTAAAATTTATAGATCGCAAGAGTCTAAATCTTGGAATTTTTGAAATATCTGGAACTTTACAGTCTCCAAGACTAACAAGATAATGGTTAAGGCCTTCCGTGCTTGTCGGATTTATAAAAATGAAAGAAAGCATTTTTCCGATCTTTACGATTTTTAGGTAGATTTTTGTTTTCTTTAAAGTCTTTGGAATTTTTAAAATCTTTGTCATTTTAAGAGTTCACTCGATTTTTCCAAGTGTTAATTTTAATTAATCTATGGAAATTTGAACATGTTGAAAATTACTAGGAGTTTTATAAAATCTAAAATTTCTGCAATTTCTAGGATCATTACCCCTAGTTCTTTCAAATTTTTAAGCATTTTTGCGATCTTTACGATTTTTAGGTCTTTAAGATTTTTGTTTTCTTTAAAGTCTTTGAAATTTTTAAAATCTTTGGCATTTTAAGAGTTCACGGGATTTTTACAAATTCTAGAACCTTTGGCTTTTTCGAACTTCTCTAGAATTTTAGCTTTTGACCCCTTAGAGTCTTTAGATTCTTTGGAGTCTTTCCAATCTATGGAAATTTTGAGCACGTTGGAAATTACTAGGAGTTTTATAAAATCTAAAATTTCTGCAATTTCTAGGACCCTAGTTCTTTAAAATTTTTAAGATTTCATTGGATCTTTTCTCGAATCTTTTTTATATTACAACTTTAGTTTATTTAGAATCTTAAGTGTCTTAATATTCGCAATTTCTACTGTGAAAGCTTTTATACTTTTTGAATCTTTCAAACCACTGGAAACTTTGGAATCTTTAGAGCTTTCGGATTTTCATTATTTTTACATACCTCAGTATCTCTTTTCAATTTTTAAATATGTGGAATCGTCGGAATTTTTAAGTTGCCGGCTTCTCTAACTTTTTTAAATTTTTTGAAATTCCTAAAATCCTTTGAAAGGGTGAGAATATTAGGAAAATAAGGATTTTACAATTAAGCTCCGCCTCTCGACTTACGACGAATAAAAAAAATCATCAGAATTGAAATAGGGAGGGAGGAGGGGGGTTATATTTTGCCTTTTTTTCTTAATATACGTAGCCATCTTTTCACAACAAGAAACTTAGAATCTGGTACAATTTTTGCAAGGAAATATGGATTTTGCAATTATGGAGTGGAGCCCAATTGCAAAATCGATAGTTCCTTATACAAATTTTCCATTTTAAGCATGTTGTAAGTTTTATATTGGGAAAAGAAGTCTATACATATTCAAACAAGAAGGCAAAATGTAAACCCGCCCACCCGCCCTATCTCAATTGTGACGATTTTTTTATTCGCCGTGAACCAAGGGGGCGGAGCTTAACTGCAAAATACTTATTCCTATACGAGAAACTAAAAACAATTTTTTGAGTATCGTGTTGTTCAAAGAGTACAATGTATATTTAGAAAAAAAGACAAAGTATAAACAAAATTTGTTGAAGTTTTTACTGAAATCTAATAATCTGAAGTAAATAATAAGGGCTTATTGGGGTAAATCACAACTATAGAAGTATCTTATTTTTAAATTTTAAATAGGATTTACCAACTAAAATTTTGAGATGACTCAACAAACTTTTAATGAAAACACACAATTTTGGTTAGTATTTAATGATCAACACGATAGTCTTAAAATACAGCTAAGAAACTCCAATGGTCCAGTAATTACGGAAATTATGTGTCTAATAAGGACCCCAACGGACAGACTGGTGGCAGACACACGGAAAGGGGGGATCTAAATTGTCGCATTATACGAGCTACAAAACGCTGAGAAAACATGAAATTACGCATTTATCAAACGGGAAGTGGAAACAGTGTTGATTCAAATTTACTAGTTAAAACAAATCATTTAATTTTTCACCGATCGATTTTACTTCCCAGTATAAGGTACAGCAGGTTATTTGAAAATTTAGACAAAACTAAAAGTGGGTTCAAATGAACTTAAACGTCAGTTAACCCCCATTATCGTCGTAGTAGCTTTCGGTCGTCTATCGGTACATCTCCTCTAGACCTCTAAAATAAAACGAAGTCCAAACATAAGGCTTTTACTAAAAAATTTTGCTCCTCAACATAGTGTCGAAGAACCTATTTTAATCTAAATTTCTTTATTCAAACCGAAACTGAGTTAAAAGAGATTTCGATATTGCTACAAATTAAAAAAATTGGTCGACAGTCATTTAGACAGATCCGAAGTACAATATAACGAATCCACAGTTTTCAAAGAATTAAAAATTTAATTTTGCGAATTTATTTTTTTTATGATAACCACTATAGGTTAAAATAAAGTTGTGTACGTAATCTTAAAAGTAAAGGTAAATAACCATGTTTAAACCAGTGTTTCCATTACAAAATTTTGTGATGACGTCATCAACATTCTTGCAAGAACACGTATATCAATTTGAGAAGGGGCAACTTGATACCAATAATAAGAGTTTTGTATTCCCAAATTTCCGGGAAAATAGAGAATTTTTTTTGAATCAAGCAAGGAAAGCGCGATCAGACCTAGATCCCGTAACGGTGATCTAAGACTTGGACCCCCACACAGCCTTTTTTTTCCATCTGTTCATGATCATCGTGATAATTGGAGTATTCACATCCATATTTTGCGTTTGATTTAGATTTCTACCTTGGGGTTCACTACTTGGCATTTCGACGCATTCCGCCATTAAAAAAAACACAACGTAGGGTTCCATTTTGTTGGCGATAACCGTTATGGCCAAATTTGAATTTTTTTGCCGGTAGTAAAATATTGTTCACATGTCAAATTTTGGCGGGATGTTTGGGTTATCTACTTATCATATTACACTTTCTGCAGTCACAATAAAATAAGATTTTTTTTCTACTTTGATTTTCATAAACAACGAGCAAAGTTGAGCATCTTCAGTAACGGCCGTATATACACGTTAGTGTATATTAATGAAGTCGGCCATGGTTCAAAAGAATAGTGGTGCCATCTTATCGACAAATTTATATTTAAATAACTGTTTGAATTGTTACTGTTGGAGCTGTTCTGATGCTGGTTCTGTTAAAAACACCATTGTACAACAAACAAATCTAAAACTAATTTTGTAATAATATCATTAATTATAATTAGTTAGACAACCATTTTTATTTAATCAATAAATTAAATAATTGAG